GGGTTAGTCAACTGCTCTGGGACAAGGTTCCTCATATATCCCGTTTCCCTCATACTCAAAAGGTACCACTATCAACAATGGCTAACGTTAACTTGAGGTAGGCTGATTTGACTAGAGTTATTTGATGATTATTCACAATACAAAAATCAACAGTTAACCATTTCTTTAGGGCGCATGTTTGGCAAATCGAGGCTACCCTCTGAAAATTAGACACACTCAGGCAACATGGGCCATGCACCCTACCGGAGCAGGAAGGAAGTTACCATGGCAGAGCCGGCGCCCCGCGGAGCCGTGTATCTCATCGGCATTCAGATCTTCTCTCGTGCAATGACATTCTCTGCGAACCAGGTTCTCCTGCTCCATGTTTCCCCCGTCGCCCTAGGGATGTCAATGCAACTAGATTTATATTCAATCACAGTGCTGCACTTTGCTCGAGAAAGCATTCGAATGGCAAGCCAAACACGAACCCGCGCTCCACAGGAAGCTAAGCAGGGAAATCTTTTGCACCAAGAATCCGAAGGTACATCCGAGGGCATAGTCAACCTCAACCCATCCTCTCAAGAGATTGTGAATATGTCTTATCTGTCCATTCTCTTGGGCTCTTTAATATTGTATTTATCCGGATTTTTCTACCTCCAGTATGCACCAGACCGCTTTTCCCACGACCCTTACTTCAAACAGAGCTTTATATTGGGTTAGCTTTGCAGCCGGGTTGGAGCTCTTGGCTGAACCATGCTTTGCTGTGGTACAGCACAATATGCTGTATCGGTCAAGGGCGACGGTCGAAACTGCTTCTGTTCTCGCAAAAGGCCTGTTCAGTTGCGGCTTTGGACTCTGGATGAGTAGGATGGGCTTGGATTGGGGGCCTCTGCCCTACGCTATTGGCCCAAGTTGCCTACAGTGTTTTTTTCCTTTTCGGCTATTGTATCGTTGCCAACAGTATTGCTAGCGAGGGTAGATTTTCTCTACTGCCTGTGTTTATCTCAGGGAAGTGAGTGCCACCAGACCGCCTTTTTGTTGTATCATGGCTTTGCTGACCATTTGAAAAAGAGAGGCTTCTTCATTTTTATCCCGTTTCATACCGGTACCTTTATTTATTAGGAGCGCCAACGTCTTTTTCCAGTCGGCTGTCAAGCACATCCTTACTCAGGGTGATGCAATGATTCTTGCCGCTCTCTCAAGCCTAGAAGACCAGGGTTTGTATGCGTTGGCTTCGAACTACGGGGGCCTTGTAGCGAGATTGGTTTTCCAACCAATTGAAGAGAGCAGCCGCATCAGTTTTGGGCGGTGGCTTTCTGAAGAAACGCCGTGTATATCAAAACAAAATGGCGTGAACTTTGCCAAATCGTATCTTCAGAATATTCTCCATGCATACTCCCTATTAACAATTACCCTTTGGACCGTTGGACCCCTCTTTCTTCCTGCGGCGCTTAAGGTACTTTTGAATTCTCGATGGGCGGCATCAAACATCGAGGAAGTCCTCTTAGCATACTGTTATTATATTCCCTTTCTTGCTTTTAACGGGATCACCGAAGCATTTGTATCCTCCGCGGCGAGCAATTCCCAACTACGAATCCAGGCTACCTGGATGGGAGCGTGCTCTGTAGGATTTGCATTCGCCGCATATTTTCTACTCAAAGTTGCCGCTTTGGGCATTCGCGGTTTGGTTTGGGCAAATATCGTCAACATGGCCTTCCGTATCGTGTGGAGTTTCTGGTTTATCAAAAAATATTTTGTCAAACAACAACAAGAATTTATATTGCGTGATATATTACCGAGGCGTGAAACCTGCGCTGTTGGCGCCATCGCTTGGAGTTATACGCTCGCTTCACATAAAAAAACTTCCGACATCGGCGATTTGGCGCGAATGATTTTTGGAGGAGCGGCAGTATCCATTACCATGTACGTCTTGAATAACCACTTATTCTATTTCTTCGCTAATACCGCCCTTAAGTCTATACCTTGAAAGAGGTTTTATTGAAAAGCAGATCATCAGTTTCCGAGCCTCTAAAACAAAATCTTGACGAGTACCCCGTATTATCCCCCTGGATTCTTCGAGTGGTAACGAAACTGGTTAATCATCGAATTTGATTTTTGACGGTGCCTTGGTCGTGCCTATATCGCGGAAAAATGACCCATACGACTCATGCTGCTTCTTTTTCACAGTCGCGCCGAATTTCAAGAGGTTCTCTGGCACATCTTGTTTAGCTGCTCGTAGGACGTTTATTAGGCTTTGGAAAAAGTTAGTTCAGAAAAGAATGATGAGTAGATCTCTCGACTCACGGCCCCGACAACGCTTTGTCAAGCTCTGTAAATAGAGTGATAGCTAGACCATCGGCTCCGGCACGACCTGTCCTGGAATTGAATTTAGTGTTTGAACGGCTAATCAAGGCATAGAATGAGCACACCTTCCAATACGATGGACATAGTCCTCAATTGTCAAAGGGAATGTGACATTAAGCACAAGTTTGACAGCGGGAATATCCAATCCACGGGCTGCCACATCGGTCGCA